CCTGACCCTTCCAGCTCTGTCCGAGACTAACTATGACTCTGCCAGGGCTACGACGGCAAATGATACGACGGAATCAAAAACAAAAGCCAACGTCTGCTGGGCACTCCTACCTGCCAGGCACTGGTTAAGGAGTTCTTTCCTTCTACATTTGTTAGATTCTACAAGGAAGATGTCACTACTATCATTCCTCATTTCACAGAGGAGAAAATCAAGGAGCAGACACAACACAGCCAGGGTGGAAGTGGTGGAGTGAGGTTCAAATCTGCACACACTGAACCGAAAGCCTGTGTCTGGGCGTCTGGGCAGGTTTTGCACTCCACCGGCACACCCTGCTTTGTAAAGTAACTTCATCATTAAGCAAAGTAAGGGAGCATACATCCCTACCTTCAGAACGCATCTGCCCATTTTCACACAGTCACACTTTCAGCACCAGGAGTGGATCGCGGTGTCTGGAACAAGAAGTGAGAAGGAACAGTACATAAGGAAATGAGAAGTGACTACCTGGAGGAAATAATCAGGAAAGATGGGCTTGGGAAAGGTCCAAAAGAGGAAGTCACCTCGTGTGCATCAGGTGCAGACCACATGGTACTCTGCCAGGCAGAAATGATGCTTGGGTTCATCACCTGTCCTGAGCTCCTACCTCTGGGCATGGTAAGGGCAGCCCCTTCCTGAGGGAATTGTAAAGGGTTTGCAGAGGGAGGGAGGGAAGAAGGGAGGGAGGGAATGATGTCTGGGCAAGGAGTGGCAAGGAATAGAAACAGGTTGTTGTGTTCACAGGAAAGATGTTTCAGATCTCCTTGGCTGACTATTGTAGGGGTTTGACATGGATAGGATCTTGGTAGACTTGTGTCATTGTTCACAGGAGACAGTGTCTTGACCTTTTCCAATTATTTTTTGTCAGTCATGGGGCTTGAACTCAGGACCCGGGCACTGTCCTTGAGCTCTTTTTTTTTTTTTTTTTCTGGCTGTGAGGCTTGAATTCATGGCCTGGACAGTGTCTCTGAGCCTCTCTGTGGTCAAGGATAGCGTTGAGCCACAATGCCACTTCCAGTTTTTAAATGGTTTTAATTGGAGATAAGTGTCATAGATTTTCCAGCCCAGGCTGGCTTCTAATCGTGATCCTCAGATGTCAGCCTCCTGAGTAGCTAGAGTTATAGGTGTGAGCCACCAGCACCAACTCTTCCTATTTTTTTTGGGGGGGTTTTCTGGTCGTGGGGCCTGAACTCTGGGCCTGGGCGCTGTCCTTCAGCTCTTCAGCTCAAGGCTAGCGTTCTACCACTTGAGCCACAGTGCTACTCCGGCTTTTTCTGTTTATGTGTTGCTGAGGGATTGAACCCAGGGCCTCATGCATGCAAGGCAAGTACTCTACCACTGAGCCACCTTCCCAGCCCCTCTTCCAAAATTTTTAGGCAGGATGTAGATGTGATGAATTATCAACAAGGAGTCTTAGAACCTGCCTCAGGCAGGTGTGTGGGCAGGACCGCTAAGGTGACACCTTTAGATCCAGGCTTACAACCTTGTCATGGTGGGTAGGTTACCTAACTTTCATCTGTACAGCAGTAGAGGTTATAATTAGAATGGATGCAAAAGTATTTAGCGAGCTGCCTGCACACGGTTAGCATTCAGAATGCGATTATGTGGGCAATGAGCTGGGAGTGTGGGGACAGATAAAGGTATGAGGGGCCACAAAGGAGGAGTACCTAACTCTGGAGCAAAACCTGGTTATTGAGAACATCTCCAAAAGTTATGAGGCTGGAGTGTGACCCGAGTGGTAGAGTGCCCGCCTACAAAGCACAGCACCCTGAGTTTAAACCCCAGTACCACGGGGTGGGGAGGAGGGTCTGGGGGGACTGGGATTGGAAAAGGTGAGTATGAACACAAGAAGTGTCCCTTGGGTGATTTAGATGTGCTGTTTACCTTCACTCACCAGACAGCACTAACTATTCTTTAAAAATAACCTGTTATGCTGGCCACTGGTGGCTCATAACTATAATCCTAACTACTCAGGAGTCTGAGATCTGAGGATTGCAGTTCAGTGCCAGCCTGGGCAGGAAAGTATATGAAATTCTTAATCTCCAATTAGCCACCAAAAAGTCAGGTGTGGAGTTGTGACTCAAGCGGTAGAGCGCTATGACTAAGCAAAAAAGCTAAGGGATAGTACACAGCCCTGAGTTCAAGTCCCCAGCACTGGTATAGAAAAAAAGGTATTAAGATTTGCCCTTAATAGCCACATCCAGCATTGGTATTTGATACTCCTTTATCCCCCATGCATTTTGTTGTTCTTAATAGTTTTAATCACAGTGCATGTGATAGCTCATATTTTGCATTTTTGCCATACTACGCAATCGTAGGCATTTTTATGACGTTTTCATAATAGATTTTTATTTTAAGTGAAGCAAAAATAGTCTTTTTGTTGTTGTTTGGTTTGAGGCAAGGTCTCATTATTTAATCCAGGCAGCCCTTGAACTCGAGATCTTCCTGCTACAGCCTGTTGAGTTCTGGGTTTCTAGGTAGGTACTACCCTGCTCAGAACAGTTGGGAGCATGGAGGACTAATGGAGAGGGTGAATGAGGAAGGATATGAAGTAGTTCATTTCAACGTGTGAAAATAGAACAGTGGTGACAGTTTTCTAATTTGTGGGTATTACATTCGCTTTTGGAATTATTTGTTGTTTCATAGAACAGAGTCTCATTATCTAGCCAAAGCAAACCTGGAACTCTCAAACTTCCTGCCTCCACCTCCAAAATGCTGTGATTACTGTTAATCTACAAATTATAGACTGTGAAATGTAACTATGGTGTGTTTTCAGTGAGAAAGGCTTTCATTAAATTTCAAATAAAAATCTCTTTTAGCAGACTTTTTTTTCACTTAAAAGAAATAGAACAATTTGGGCGCCAGTGGCTCATGCCTATAATCCTAATACTCAGGAGGCTGAGATCTGAGGATCATGGTTCAAAGCTAACCCTGGCAAGAAAGTCTGTGGTGCTGTGGCTCAAGTGGTAGAGTGCTAGCCTTAAGCTAAAGAGCTAAGGGACAGCATCCAGGCAGGCCCAGGTTTAAGACCCACAACTGACCCCCCTCCCCCCCAAATATAGAACAATGAAACCTTTAAAAAGGTGTGTATCCTCTAGGTCTCTCATAGTGTCCCATGCCAGAGCAAACTGTGGCTGCAAACCATTGCCTAGACTCTACCTTTGGGTCCTGGCACTGAAGAGGGTTTAACAGGTGATTTTTTTTTTTTAATTTAACAAAAAGAAGGTGGTGGTAAGGGAGAATGATGATAGAAGGGTGAGGTTGATCAGGATCTTAGTATGTATGTTAATAAAAATGTAAAAATATGGAAATTATTTATGGCCTTTAGAATTTTTATTATTATTTTTTTGGCAATGTGGAGATGAATTCCTATCTCCAATAAACTACTAGAAAACTGAAAGTGGCGCTGTAGCTCAAGTGGTAGAGCGCTCGCCTTGAGCTGAAAAGCTGAGGGACAGCGCTCAGACCCAGAGTTCAAGCCCCATGACCGACCAAAGGAAAAAAAAATTGGAACTATGGCTCAAAGTGGTACAGCACTAGCCTTGAGCAGTAGAGCTCTGAGATAACGCCCAGGCTCTGAGTTCAAGCCCCACAACCGACCAAAAAAGGAACAGAAAAAAAAAGAACAAGAAAGAAGTAGCTTCAAGCTGGGAACCAATGGTTCACACCTGTAATCCTAGCTACACAGGAGGCTGAGATCTGGAGGATCACAGGTCAAAACCAGCCAAGCAGGAAAATCTGTGAGAGACTTCTCTCTCTCTCCAATTAACTACCAGAAGAGCTCAGGATAATGCCCAGGTCCCGAGTTCAAACCCCAGGACCTGTTTACCTGTTTGTTTGTTGCTTTGTAAGTCTCATACTATCCATAGACACTTGGAATGACTCGTGTGAACATAATTGTTTAACTTCAATAATTAGACTTGGATAAAAACAGTTAACAGCGGCCATTTCTCCAGTCACAAGTCTCACCCCAGACCTCCTCCAGGGGAAGGCAGGCCTTGTGCAGTCAGAGAGCAACTCCCCCAGCTGCTGCCTGGAGGGTGAACCCCACCCAGGAGGCCTGGGGACCCCCCCCCTCTAAAGGGCTGGAGTTGGGCCTTCCGTGCGCGCCAGAGCGCGTGGATCAGGACGGACCCTGGCGCGGGGCTCTCCCCAGGGCGGGCGCCGGGCCCGCGGCTCCGCCCGCCCCGCCTCTAACCTCCCTGGACTCGGGGTGGGGGGGGGGTCCCCGCACCCGGCCCGGGGCGCGGCCCTCACGTGAGGCCCGGACTCAACCGCAGCTCTGGCAGAACTCCCCCCCTCCCCTCGTGACTCAGTTTCTCCGCCTGCTCACGCGGGCTGCCCCGGGCGTGAGGCACCTCAGAGGAACGCGGACGGTGCCCAGGACAGCTTCCTCGTAGGGCGTGCCTCCCGGAAGAGCGCCCGGAGACCGGGGCTCGCGCCCCGGGGCGCCCCTTCAGGACGCGCCCGGCTCTCACCCCAGGATTGAGTCCGAGGACTCGGCCAGCTGCGCGGGCCGGACCTCTGAGGTGACAGGTCCCCTCGCCACGCCGGCGGTGGCTTCTGCAGGGCCCCAGCCAAAGAGGGCTGGCCGGGGAGACGCCCGGTGCCCGCGTCCGGGCCGGGCCCGCGCCCCAGGCCCGCCGCCTGATGCAATCCGAGGCGCCCTTGCTGCATGCGGGCGCTGGGGAAACCTGCCCGGCCGTTGCATCACTCCAGCCCGGCTGGCCACAGAGGCGGAGCTCAGCCAATCAGCGCGCGCGCTGGGCCCGGAGCGGGCCGCCTCGCCACCCACTTAGAGCGCGGCGCGGTTCAGGGAAAAGCAAAAGCCGAACGTGATTGGTCCGAACGGGGTTCGCCCCTCCCCAATCACCGCGGCAGCTGGCTCCGGGTGGGCGGGGAACCTCCCGGCCAGAGGGTTTAAAGAGCGCCTCCGTGAGGGGTCGCTCAGCTGGAGCGACCCGACCGGTGCCAGGCCAGGTGTGCGCGTCCGTCGGTCCTTCCGTGCCCGCGCCGGAGACCAGCCACCGGAGGCCGCTCCGGGCCCGTCCCTGTGCCCGGCACCATGAAACACGAGTCTGCAGCCCAGAACACTCCGCCCCCCTCGCTGTCTCCTGCACCCTCCGCGCAGCCACCCCGGGAGGATGGCGACCCCCCGGCCCTGTGGATTTTCGGGTACGGCTCCCTGGTGTGGAGACCCGACTTCGCCTACAGCGACAGCCGTGTGGGCTTCGTGCGCGGATACAGCCGCCGCTTCTGGCAGGGAGACACCTTCCATCGGGGCAGCGACAAGATGGTGAGCATCGGACCGTGCCCAGGGCAGCCGGGGGTGGGGGCGAGGGAAATGCGTGAACCTGCAGCGGGGGTTGTGGTTTAGATTCGTGTCGTGTGTGTGTGTGTGTGTGTGTGTGTGTATCACGGTGTGATGCTTTCAATGGGAACCTGGGGGGTCTGTGCACCTGTCGAGGCCAGTGCACCTGCCTGCTGCTTCTGCATCCATCCATCCGTGCAATCCCTCCCTGCGCCCGCCTGTCCCCTGGTGGAGTGGGGTGCAAGCAGGTCTTGGGGGCGGGCAGGGGGTGGGAGAGTTTTCTTGCGCTGATGGGCTGATGGCAGAGCTAATTTCTAATTTGTTTTTCTCAAAAAAATATCTTTCTTTCCTCCCTAGCCTGGCCGCGTGGTGACCCTCCTTGAAGATGGTGAGGTAAGTGGCCGAGTGAAGAGGATGCCTCTGGGGACCCAGTGTGGAGGGATGCAGAGAGACAGAGCTCTTGGGGCCTGTGGCTGCACGCTAGATCTGATGCAGGCTGCAAGTGTGGTCTGGCTCAGTGCTCCTCAGAAAATCACCTGAGCATCTTGTAAATACATACGTATAAATTAATTTGGTAGGATTAGCATAGGGTCTGAGATGTAGTTTTCTAACAAGCTTGCAGGTGATGTGGCTGGTGCCTGGGCCCTGGTATGAGTAGGTCTCCCTGGCATGAGACCACCTTGCCAACCCATAAGGGGGCATAAACTTTAACAGAATGAATGGATTAGAGAGTTGAAATATGTCTTGTCTGGGGAAAAAGTTCTAGGGGGGATGGGAGCCTGCAGGGAGAGTGAAGGAGAGTCAAAAGTATTTTATATACATGGGTGGCGGTGGAACCAAAAGCTCGCTGAGACTGGTCTGATCTGGGAATGGGGGAATGCAGAAGGGAGAATGACAGAGGAGGTGTCTCTGCTTGAGGTGTACAAATCAACAACTAACTGATGCTAACAAGGGTGAGCATCAATGTAGAGTATACATAGATAGCTTATTGGTCTGGCACCCACCAATGTAACAGAGCACAGTCTTGGGGTGGCGGGGGGAGGAGGGGAGAATGGCACTCCAGGATGAGAGAGGGACCAGCACAGAGCTCTTGTGCATGACCTGAATGTCCCTGTTTCCCTCTAGGGCTGCACTTGGGGTGTGGCATACAAGGTGCAAGGCGAACAGGTAAGCGAGGCCCTGAAGTACCTGAATGTGCGGGAAGCAGTGCTTGGCGGCTATGACACCAAGAAAGTTACCTTCTATCCTCAAGATGCACCAGACCAACCTCTCACAGCACTGGCTTATGTGGCTACCCCACAGAACCCAGGCTACCTTGGGCCCGCCCCAGAGGAGGTCATTGCTACACAAATCCTGGCCTGCCGGGGCTTCTCTGGCCACAACCTTGAGTATTTGCTGCGCCTGGCAGACTTCATGCAGCTGTGTGGGCCTCAGGCGCAAGATGAGCACCTAGAAGCCATCGTGGACGCTGTGGGCAGCATGCTGCCCTGCTCCTACCTCAACGAGCAGGCTTTGGCACTGGTCTGAGAAGCTGAGTCCTTGTCCACATGGACAGCTGGACCAGATGCCTACCCAAAGCTTGAAGTAAGACTTGATAGAGCTAAAGCACTCTGAGAGGGCACAGGGGGCAGGGCACAGGGCAGCTGGGGACTTCTCAAGCTCCTGTCCGCTTGCCAGCCTCGTTTTCCTGCTTGACTGACACTGACTTACTTGAAACTTTATTTATTACACCATGTTGGTGTGGCGGGCAGGGTAGCCGGGGGACCTGTCACGACACAGGCCCTGCTGCGCAGTGGCCACACCCCAGGCCTCCGGTGCCTGACCAGACTTCCCACCATTACTGCTGCTAATTCCACACCACCTAGGCCTCCACTTCTCCAGGAAGCCTCTAAGAGCCTTGATCTACCTAGACCAATACTCCTCAGCCTGGAAACATCACCTGCCCAAGTTCCCAGCCTGCTGGTGAGGGGCTCTGCTGGCCTGAGGCCCTTGCCAGCCTTACGCATCTACTGAACCCTCGGGCCCAGCTGGGTCTGATGCCTGGACGCAGCTGCAGAGGCTGGGCCTGGGTTGCTCTTCCTTTTGGTTATTCCCTCCTTCCCTCCCTCCTCTCATCCTCTGTTGTTTGCCTTCTTGTCTAACTGGGCCACTCATGTATATCTTGCCCATTCTTGGGAAATTCATCACTACAGGCCCTGGTCCCTTCCCAGTCTGTCCCACTGTTATCCATAAATGGATCTCTTACTATCTGCGCTGGCATGTGCTTCTTTACATGGGAGTTGGGGTGAGGGATGCACTGCGGAAGGCTCCCGAGAAGGGGAAGCACACCACGTCCTCTCCTTCCCTAACAAGCTCCATTTCTCCCGCTGCCACAGTCCACGTCTCAGTCCACGTGAACCATGTCCCCACGCCTCTCCCATGCAGCCCTGTGAGCAATGCCTTTGCCATTGACCAATGACCCTTGTCTACCCCTCTCAGTGCCTCAGGCTTGAAGCTCTGCCTAGCTTTCCTCCACCAGCAAGGCCAGACCCCTGGCTTCTAGTTAAAGGCACATGTGGGTGAGGGAATGGTGGTAACAACTTGTGGGGCAACACTGACAGCACGTGGCAAGGTCACATGACCTGCAGGACTTGATGCCCTTTCCCCCCCAAGGACCACGTGCTTACTATGCATTCCTGAGGCTGTGGCTGGCCTCTCTTCTAACCCTGCCCTGCCAGGACTCACCCACAATGCAATGAGCTACGAGGATGGCCTGCTTGCTCGTTCACCCCGGGATGCTCCCGGGGGGCCAGGTCCCCACTCCCAGATCAGAGCCTGACCAGGTGTGAGAAGTGACCCCTTTAGGCCTTCCCCTGGACTTGGAGGATGAGAGTAGGGCCAAGGTGGGGCAGATGAGTCTGAGTTGAACCCAGCCCCTGCAGTGACCTGTGCTTTGTCCTGCGAGGGGACGCTGGCGTGTGGGGGAGGGGGCAGTTGACATAGCTGCTGTTCTTGTAGCCACTGTCCTGGTTTGACGTGGGAATCTCCGACGAGGTCAGCTCAGACCAATGTGGGCAGGCCTTACACCTGGGCAGTGTGCCTGTGTTTTGGTGGCTTCATGTTCTGGCCATTGATGGGAAAAAAATATGGAGTCCAGCCAGGTTCTTCTGGGAACCTGGTCAGGGTAAAATAACAAGAGGCAGTGGTGGCAGGGAGCCCTGGGTAGCCAGGTGTCCTGGGCCGGAGCAGGGGACTCTTCTGAACTGGGAGTTAAAAGAAGTGGAATGCCGGGTGCCGGTGGCTCACGCCTGTCATCCTAGCTACTCAGGAGGCTGAGATATGAGGATCACAGTTCAAAGCCAGCCCGGGCAGGAAACTCCGTGACTTTTTTTTTTTGTCGGTTGTGGGGCTTGAACTCTGGGCCTGGGCGCTCTTAAGCTCAAGGTGAGCGCTCTACTACTTGAGCCACAGTGCCACTTCCAGTTTTCTATTGTTTTATTGGAGATAAGAGTCGCATGGAGCCGGGCGCTGGTGGCTCACGCCTGTAATCCTAGCTACTCAGGAGGCTGAGATCTGAGAATCGCTGTTCAAAGCCAGCCCGGGGCAGGAGAGACCTTGAGACTCCTATCTCCAAAAAACCACCAGAAAACTGGAAGTGGCGCTGTAGCTCAAGTGGTAGAGCGCTTGCCTTGAGCTGAAGAGCTGAGGGACAGTGCCCAGGCCCAGAGTTCAAGCCCCACGAACAACAACAACAACAAGTGGAGAGGGCACCCACTCATCAGCCATTGACAGACACTGTTGTAGGCACAGGAGATTCAGTAAAGGATTCCCCCTCCTTACAGAGTTTGGTGACCATTCCAGGTGACATGGGACCATTGACCCAAGTGAGTGAGCAGCTGGGGAAGGCTTCCTGGGGGAGGGAGCCAGAGAACAGCATGTACCTGAGGGGAAGAGAAGGTCAGACGGGTTGGCACAGCAGCATGGGGATTGGAGATGAGGCCAGAGAGGTGGCAGGACAGAGCTGTGGTGGTGGCATTCCTGCCGGGTCACCAAAGGGGCCTCTGGCGGGTTCTGAGTAGGGAAGAGACAACCAGGGAACACTGTCATGGTGTCAGGTGGAAGGCCAAGATGGCTGAGGTAAAGGGGGCCGGAGCTTTAGTGTGGTGGCGGGCATGGCAGGGGTGGGTCTCAGGCAGTTTCAGGGTGAGGGCAACAGGATCTGGTGACAGGCTGGATGAGCAAAATTTGAAGGGCTGAAGATGTGGAAGGAAAGTAGCAGCTCACACTCAGTTTCTCCTATACACTCCCAACATGGGCAACAGAAGTGTGTTTCCTTCACACTATGCCTCAGCTCTGCAGCTGACACCGGCTAGGATTCGGCTAACGCAATCCAAACTTACGGAGAGCCAGCACCTGATCCCACAGTCTGAGGGCTTCCTCTCCAACACTGCTCCCCACTTCGGAGGCCAACTGCAAGCCCAGGTCGTGGGGCCTGAATTCTGGGCTTGGGCGCTGTCCCTCAACTCTTTAGTTTAGCTCAAGACTAGCACTCTACCACTTGAGCCACAGCACCATTTCTGGCTTTTTCTGCTTATGTGGTGCTGAGGAATCGAACCCAGGGCCTCATGCATGCAAGGCAAGTGCTCTACCACTGAGCCACCCCCAGATCATTGTATTTGTACTTCAGACCCATTGGATCTGAGGTCCCACAATGCTCTCTCTTCTTGGGTTTAATTTGCTCCAGTGGACATGTGCTCTACATGAGCTCCATCACCAGCCTGCTTTGGGTTTTATGTAGACTGTTGCCTGGCTCACACCTATAATCTTAGAGCACTAGCACCTGCCTGGAAAGCACAAGGCCCCTAGTTAAAAATTTCCCAGTAAGCCAGGCACCAACCAATGGCTCATGCCTGTTCTCCTAGCTACTCAGGAGGCTGAGATCTGAGGATCGCAATTAGAAGCCAGCCCGGGCAGAAGAAACTACTCAAAAAAAGCCCAAAGTGGTGCTGTGGCTCAAGTGGTAGAGTGCTAGCCTAGAGCACAAAGAGGCTCAGGAACAGCACCCGAGTTCAAGCCCCAGAACTGGCAAAAACAAAACAAAACAACAACAAAAAACCAACCCTCGTCTTTTCTGGTTCAAGAGACTTAAGTAGGGAAAGGTGTTGAGGCAACTTAGACGTCAGGGACTTTCAAAACTATCTTGCCCACGCCTCCCTGCACACATCCTCCCGCAGAACCAGGGGTTAATAGGAAGCCACAGGCAATTCCATGGCCAGTTTCATTGTTGAGTCTACGCTAGGCCAGAGGGCCCTTAACTTGCCCTGTGGGTGGCAGACAAACAGGCCGTGGAGCTTGGAGCTCCAGGCATGCGGTAAAGCTGTTCCATTCTGAGAGGGGCCACAGGATCCAGCAGGAGGTGAGGATGCATCTAGCAAAGGAGCCCAGAGCGTGGCACGCAGCTCAAGGTACCTCGGGGTCAGATGTGGAGGAAGTGTTGGCTGCTGTCGTGCAGGGAAGTTCCGTTCTATGGTGTTTTTGTTTCTCATATTTTTTCCTTCTACATAAGGAACTTCTGTTTGTTTTTGTTCCTTTTGTTTGCTTTGTCTTTAAAGTAGGCGTGTGTGTGTGTGTGTGTGTGTGTGTGTGTGTGTGTGTGAAGGACGCCTGTTCTGGTCCTCAGGACAGATGGGCTGCAGGTCTTCAGAGCTGACAGGATCCTGTTGGGATCCACGTTTCAGGGATAGACAGGGTCTGGGAAAGTGGCTGAGATGCCTGCCTTTGGGCAGCCAGTTGCACATGTGAGGCAAGCAAGAGGGAGGAGACTGGAGACTCCAGGAATGTGCTGGGGGGAGGGCACTGGTCAACCTTTCTAGGGCTGGCAGTCTCTTAAGGGATTCCTCTGGGTCGTCCCCACTGGGTCACAGGATGGACCACATTCCTGCAGGGGCTGTGCACTTCTGCAGAGAATGGCAGTGTCTGTGTCAGCTGTCAGAGAAGCGAAGGAGAGATTCCCTTTTCCCAGCTGGTTCTAAATGGTGTGCAGAGGCTCCCAGGCCTGAGCCCAGTTTTAGTGTCAAAGGTCAGATGAGGAGTAGCAAGGAGTCACAGGGAGAGTGTCCCCGAGGGCCACGTGGGAGGTTGAGGCTCAGCCCTTGGCCTCCTGCCCATATCGAGGGTGACCTCATATCCCAGAGTGCCCAGCACAGTCTGTTGACCAGAGTGATTGTTATTTTGATGTTCCGAAGTATGCTAGTTTAGGTAGTCAATTACACGGTGGTGGTGATGGTGAACTAGGCTCTGTGGGTGGAGACAGTGATGATGACGTCGGCCTGGGTAAAGTCAGCATCCTCAACCTCTGGCTCCCAGCCCAAGTTGGGTAGTGGCCCCGCCACACACAGATGCACCCTTTCTCAGATGAGGCCAACCCCTGCCCAAGCACTTCATTGGGTATGAGAGAGCTTGATGCACCCGCAGGGTTAACTCAAGTCACCAGCTCGGTGGGGCCCTCTTTCCCCGGGGCCTCTCTCTACCAGCAACTCTGCGGCACACTCCTCCCTGGCTCTCTCCCTTGGTGCCTCTGCTTCTCCATCGGGCACTTCAGTCTTCATTCTTGGCTCTGCTGTGGATCCTGCCATTCCACTTGGCTCTCCCAGCCGAGGAACTTGAGCACAGGCTGTTTTCCCCATCTTTGCTAGCTGGACAGCTAGGTAAGCCTGAGTGGGAAGAACTGCCCAGGGAGCTACAATATTCCCTTCTAAAAACCCCAATGGGTCCAGATAGTGGTCTGCATTCTCTTTATGGGCTCCCTTCCCTTGTCAAGGTCCCATGCTCCCAGGAGAGCCTAATGGACACTAAACCTCCTCTTAGTGGACAGAGGAGGTTGGGGGGGGGACACAGGAAGATCTCCGAGGCAGGCTCCAGGCAAAAATGCAAGCCCCTACTTGAAAAACAACTAAAGCAAAAAAAAAAGGGATGAGTACCTGGCTCAAGTAGTATAGCACCTATCAAGCAAGCAAGGGACCAACAAACAAACAAACCAAAACCAAAACCAAAAGGAAGCAAGAAGGATCAAATGCACAGGGACCTGTCCCTGCCCTAACCCTCAAAAATGTGCAGGTACCTACCTTCCCACATCTGCGCAGCCACTGTGCAATCATCAAATCTTTTAGGGAGGGGCCAACTAGTAATTTTTACCCGATTAGAGAATTAAACCCCAAGCCAAAGCAGCC